CTTTTCTTTTTCTTTTTAAGATTTTATTTATGTATTTGACACAGAGAGAGACAACAAGAGAGGGAGCACAAGCAGGGGGAATGGGAGAGGGAGAAGCAGGCCTCCCGCTGAGCAGGGAGCTTGATGTGGGGCTCGATCCCAGGACCCTGGGATCATGACCTGAGCCGAAGACAGACGCTTAACGATTGAGCCACCCAGGTGCCCTGAAATAAGCTTTTTAAATGTAGTCACATTTATCAACCTTTACCTCATGGTTCATGTTCCTTGTGTCTTAAGAAACCTCCCCTCCACTAGACCATTATGTTTTATTTTGAAATAATCATAGATTCACAAAACAGTTGCAAAAATAGTAGAGGTCCCCTGTGCCCTTCGCTCAATTTCCCCCAATGATAATTTCTAACAAACTGTAGTACAATATCAAGATCAGGACACTGATTTTGGCACAATCACAGACCTTATTCAGATGTCACGACTTTATATGCACGTGTGTGTGTGTAGTTCTATGCTGTCGTATCCACATGTAGGTTCCCGTTCCTGTCACATCACAGTGAAGACAGACCTCCCGCATCACCACAGACGTCTCTCTTATGCTGCCCCTTGAGAGTCACACCCTGTGCCCTGGCAACCATGAATCTGTTCTCCAGCTCTGCAATTTTGTCCTTTCAAGAATGTTATACAAATGGAATCATACAGCACGGGACCTTTTGACACTGCCTTTTTCGTAATACCCCTCCAAGTTGTTCAGTGGCCAGGGGCCTCAATAGGGGCCCCAGAGGCCATCGTAGGACTGTGGCCTCACCAGAAACCTCCCACATCCATATTTGGGAAAGAGTCCTTAATTTTCCCTGCCAGAAGGTAGGAATTATCTCTTTAAGGAACAGGGCAGAGTTGCTTAGTTTTGTCAGGTAGTTACGTTAATTATCTCTAGAATTTGCCTTTTTCGTTCTTTAAAAAACATTTTCCCCTTGTTTCAAGGGTTATGTTCTGTGTAAAATATAGAAAAGCACCCAAAATGAAAAATAGTCATAATCCCAACTTTTAGAAGTACCAACAGAGTGTTTTGCTTCCTTAAAAGGAGAAATATATAAATATTGCTCTTGGACTTTTTTTAATTAAAAAAATTTTTAAGTAATCTCTAGCCCAACATAGGGTTCAAATTCATGACTGAGCCAGCCAGACACCCCACTTTTGGACAACTTTTTAATTTAACACAGCATGAACATTTCTCCAGAATTAAAAAAAAAACATTCCATTTCCTTCTAATTCACTGCATAACATCCCAAATTCAAGCAGCCTCCTAATGTTGGACATCCAGGTTATCAGTTTCTCTTACTATAAATAATGCTGTGAGAAACATCTTTGTCCCAATTCGATTGTTATTTCCCAGCCAGTTGAGGCAGGATGGCACATTCAGGGAGGGCCCCTGGAAGGCCTTCCCTGGTAGGCCACAAAAGCATTTGAGTTTTGGTCTAAAAGCAGAGGGACACTGTTGAAGAAGGTGGGAGATGTTCATTTCAGGTGTGTGTTTGTAAAAGATCTCTGACTGCAGGATGGAGAAGAAAGTGAGGTGGATGGGTGACTTCAGACAGAAGTCAGTGGTAGCCATGAAAGATAGGGGCAGAGGGAGTAAAGCAGATGGACTTGGAGGTTGCTGGAGCTCAAAGTCACAGGACTCAGTGCCCCTAGGCTTATGGCTCCTGCAGCTGGCAGGATGGATGGGGGTGCCATTCACTTATCTGAGAACACCGGAGAAGAGCCAGGTTGTTGCTGTTGTTTTCTTTAATGATAGGAGTTTAGTAGGACAGATCATTTGATAGTCTTGTGCTGAGTTGGAGGTGCCTTTGAGATGCATATCAAAGTGGGGATATCAAAGGGGTGGTGGATATAGAAGTCTGGACTAGAGATACAGATCCAGGACATACTGATGTGGAGATGACGCTAGAAGCCGTAGGCCTGGCTCACATCATGTAGGAAGGGCCTGTGTGGTAAAGAGAAGCCTGCGCGTAAAGGCTGGCACTCCTTGGGTTACAAATGGCAAAGGCCAGAGTGACTGCAAAAGTGCCCAAAGAACCTCATTTGTATTATCAACCCAGATGGAACAAAAAATACGTTAACTGTAAGCCTATTACATAATGTATATGTTAACTAGAGTAGAATTAGAAAACAGGCAATCAATAGAGAAAAATCAACAAAACCAAAAGATGGTTCTTTAGAAAGATCAATAAAATCAATAAGCCTCTAGACAGGCTAAGCCAAAAAGAGAGGATACAAATCACTAAAGCAGAAATGAAGAGGGGACATCACTACAGGTCCCATGAACATCAAAATCAAAATGACAATAAAGGAATACTATGACCACCTCCATGCACACAAATTGATAACCTAGAGGAAATGGACCGACTCCTTGAAATACATAACCTGTCAAAATTTACATAAGAAACAATCTGCACAGGCCTGTATCTACTTACAAAATTCAATCAATAATTGATAACTGCAAAAATAAAGCACCAGGCTGGCCCAGATGGATTCACTGGTGAATTCTACCGAACATTTAGGGAAAAAGGTATACCAATTCCCCTTAGGTTTTTTCAGAAGATAAATGCAAAACCCATTCTGTGAGGCCAGCATTACCCTAAAGACAAACCTAGACAAAGACATTACCAGAGAAGAAAATTACAGATCAATCTCTCTCATGAACATAAATGCAAAAATCCTCAACAAAATACTGGCAAATTGAATCCAATAGTATATAAAAAGAATTATATACCACAACCAAGTTCGATTTATCCCAGCTATGCAAGGCTGGTTCAACATTCAAAAATCAATTATTGTAATCCATCACATCTACAATCTAAAAAAGAAAAATCACATCATATCAATAGATGCAGAAAAAACATGTGAAAAAAATCCAATACCCATTCATAATAAAAACTCTTAGCAAACTAGGAAGAGAGGGGAACTTCTTCAACTTGATTAAAAAAAAAAATCTACAAAATCCTATAGCTAATATACATAATGGTGAGAAACTCAAAGCTTTCCCACTAAGGTCAGGTACAAAGCAAAGATGTCCCCTTTCACCATTCCTTTTCAACACAGAAGTTCTAGCTAATGCAGTAAGACAAGAAAAGGAAGTAAAAGATACAGATCAGGAAGAAATAAAATTGTCTTTGTTCACAGATGACATGATCAGCTTTATGTAGAAAATCTGAAAGAACCAAAAAAACTCCTGGAACCAATAAGCAATTTTAGCAAGGTTATAGGATAGAAAGTTATCATTCTAAAGTTATGATCTAACATCATAAATGTTAATCATTTTCCTATGCACCAGCAATGAAGTGGTGGAATTCGAAATTAAAAACACAATACCAATTACATTAGCACCCCAAAAAAATGAAACATTGTAGGTATAAATCTAAAAAAAAAAACATATAAGAGCTATATGAAGAAAACTACAAAATTCTGATGAAGTTTTAAAAAGATATATTCCATGTTCATGGACAGGAAGATTTTTAAAACGTCTGTTCTTCCCAACTTGATCTATAGATTCAATGCAATCCCAGTCAAAATCCCAGTCACTTGGGGGGAGACTGGCTGGCTCAGTCAGTGGAGCACGCAACTTTTGATCTTGGGGTTGCAAGTTCGAGTCCCACATTGGGAGGAGAGATTACTTAAAAATTAAAAAAATCTAGCAAGTTATTTTGTGGATATCAACAAACTGATTCTAAAGTTTATGTGGAGAGGTAAAAGACCCAGAAGAGCCAATACGATATTGACGGAAACAAACAAATGATAATACCCAACTTCAAGACTTACAATAAAGCAACAGTAATCAAGACGGTGGCATTGACTATAGAAGTTTGTGATACTGGCCAAAGAATAAACAGATCAATGGAACAGATTAAGGAGCCCAGAAATATACTGACATAAATATAGTCAACTGATCTTTGACAAAGGAACCAAGGCAATATGATGAAGCAAGTAATTTTTTTTTTTTAAGATTTTATTTATTTATTTGAGAGAGAGAGAGACACAGTGAGAGAGGGAACACAAGCAGGGGGAGTGGGAGAGGGAGAAGCAGGCTCCCCGCGGAGCAGGGAGCCCGATGCGGGGCTCGATCCCAGGACCCCGGGATCATGACCTGAGCCGAAGGCAGATGCTTAACGACTGAGCCACCCAGGTGCCCCGAAGCAAGTAATCTTTTAAACAAATGGTGCTGGAACAACTGGACAGCAACGTGCCCCAAAAAATGAATAAAGACACAGACTGACACCCTTCACAAAAAGTAACTCAAGGTATATGCTGAACGAGCGCAAGGAGTGAAAATACAGAAAATAATTACTTATATATTACTATATATTAGCTTCAGCACCATCTGTTCTAAAGAAACTGAACTTCATAGAAGAATCTGTGAAGAATAATCTAAAAATCACCAATTTTACAGGGAATGGGAAAAGGTGCTAAAGAAAAAAGAAAAAGGTGCTTAAAAACAACAAAGACAATATACGTACATAATCATGGCACAAACTACACATGAGAGAAGACGACTCTGGGCTATACTAGAAGCAGGAAGGCAATGGAAGCTCTAAACTTAGAAACTATTATTTTGGCCAAGTTTAGAGAGGAAACATTTAAATGAATTAGGCAGAGAACCAGCGTCACCAAAAAGGCTTCAAAAATAAGAAATTGAAAGAAATAAGAAATATTCAGTAAATATTTACGTGCCTATTTACCAGGCATTCTGTCCACAACAAATCTATACTGGAGCTCAGACAGCATATGATTCCTAGTAATTCCCTGTGGTTTACTTAAAAGAGAAACCAGTGGAAATGAGAGGGGAGACAACACCCCTTCCACAGGAAAAATACTCATTTTTCTTGTGAGCAGTCGTAGGAAATACGCAAAGCTGTAGGAGATGTGACTGAGTCAGTAAAGATCTTTCATTCTATAGGGCCCACTCTGTAACAGTTACTAAAAGCAACAATAACAAAGCCAAGAAGCCATGCCGTCACACCAGAACTTTATTTCACAATAAATGAACGTCTCAAACGGGAAGCAAATAAAAGCAAGCATAATGAAAGTGGTGCTCAGGGGATCATAGCCAAAGAAATTCAAGACAAGAAAACGAAAAACGTATTAAGGATGCAGTTTGCTGCTCCATTTGTTTTTATAGCACAATGCATGGGGAAGGCAATGCAGCCCTTACACTCAGGATTTTTTTTAATAAACTCAGGTTTTTAATAACCTGGCACATAGCCCTATAATTAGCTGTAATTTACTGAGACAGGCAATCTTAAATATAATATAATGAAAACTGAAACCTCAGAGGAAGAATCTGAAAAAAAAAAAAATACAAGTCACAAAAATATGATTATTGCTGCAGGGAACTTGTACTCCATGCCGAGATTACTCTAGAACTGTGTCATGTTGATAGAACAGTGGGAAGAGGCAGTTCTGGTCAGTCTGGTTGAGTGTGATCTACTTCCTTCAGGCTCAGTGCCCCTTCCTCTGCACACACACATCCCACAAGGCTGCATATTGCCAAGACCTTCCCAAGACACAAGAGGTCCAAAGTGTTATGCCCGAAGGTTAGCCACCCAGGTGGCCTTTTGAGGCTCCCTTCTGGGGCTCAGTCACATACATGTTGGGATCAGCCCACACAGGGCACTCTATGGAAGTTCTACCAAATGTTTCCTGAAGGAGGAAACACCCACTTCTTGCTACCTTTCCAGAAAGCATCTGTGGAGCACATCAGACTGTCTCAGAGTTCATAGCTTTTTTTCTTCCAGAAAACAAGATGTGATACTTCTGGGACTGCTAAATTAATAAACCCTGAAATAAACTGCACCAAGACTTACGAGTTTGCTCGCAACCAAATAATGAAATTTAAATAGCAAGTTTAAGAACTGAGAAACTTCCCTCATCTCTCCAGTGGGAGTCTTCACTGGTGGTGGACAATTAGCTTGAGGCAACAGGATACCATATATCCTGTCACAGGACACACCGCACAGCTCCTAGCGCGGTTGCAGAGTCTGACTTTCTAAGTCTAGGGACTGCGTGACAGTATTGTCAGTGTGTGACTCTAAGAGCCCCATCCTTGGATACGAAAGGCAGGAAAGGGCCTCCTGCTGGGTGCTGCCTCTCCACAACCCCTTAGTCCGGTGAGGCCCTTGCTCTGGGTAACTGTGGACCCGAACAGGTTCACTCAACTGTTCTGCAGTGACCCGAACACTCGAACAGAACACGGTACAACTGTCTGGCACCTGCGTATCACAGGCCTCAGCGTCCCTGCTCTCTGTGCTTACGTTCCCAACAAAGTCAGTTCCAAGCAATTCTGGGATGTCCGTAGGGCTGAGGAAAGAAAGAAAACACAAGCCTGATCAGATCAGCCAATCGCTGGAGCACTGGGAATTAATCCCAACTTAAGAGCTGAAAGCGCCGTATAAATCAATGGCTTTTTCATTTACAAGTGACAAAGCTTTGATCCTAAGCCATAACTGAGACACTTTATTACCTTTTTTTTTAAAGATTTTATTCATTTATTTGAGATACAGAGAGAGAGCGAGAGAGAGAACAGGAGCAGGGGGAAAGAGGGAGAGGGAGAAGCAGACTCCCCACCAACCAGGGAACCCGAACAGGGCTCGATCCCAACACCCTGGGATCACGGCCTGAGCCAAAGGCAGACGCTTAACCAACTGAGCCACCCAGGCGCCCCTATTACCTTTTTAAATAATGTGTTCACGTGCGCTCTGTGAAAGCCTGGTCCCAAGACACTCATTGATCCCTGGTCAAGTGAGTTGAGAATATGCTGTTCCCTGCGCCCTGAGAGCCCCAGCCAGCCAGGACAAAATGGGTCTGCAGCTGGTGCAGCACCCGCTCTACCTGCCTCGTCGGCTTCCCAGAGTTCTCGGCCCACAAAGGAGCCAGCCTCCTGGTCTTGCAGCGCTTCAGAGCGCCGGGCGGGGGTGGGGGACAGGGAGCCAGAGTGGCCCTGGAACCGCAGCAGAGGCGACGGGCCTGCTGGCCGTCCCTCGGTTCCCGGTCCTCTGCTACCAGCTCCTGGGGAGCGGCGTGCTGGCCTCGGCTTGTCTGTGTGCCCTGTGCTGTGCTGCGCAGGGCTGACTCACGTACTTCGAGGGACAGGGAAAGACGGAAGGAGAAGAGAGGATCGCAGAGCGGGGAGGGGGCAGGCAGAGGTGCTGAGAAGAAGGGACACCGGGCCCTTGTTCAGCTGGGCTCTGCTGTCTGCACAGCGGAGACCTAGCACCACTGCTCCTTCACCTTCCACCCACGGCGCCGGAGCTCTTAGATGGCTCCCGGCCCCAGCGGGGGCCGCACGGCCCACAGCTCAGCATTCAGGACCAGAGCAAGATCACCTCAAGCCCAAAGAAGGACTGGACGAGCCATGTGTCACGGTTCCCTACTGGCCGAGAAAGGGTGAAACCGAGGAGGAGCGAGGAAGAACCGGAGCCAAGCACAGGGCTACGAACAGGCCTGGGACGGCAGGGGCCAGGTTGGGTGGTGGCTCCCTGCAGACTCCCTACCTTGGGCTGGTAGCCCCGCTTGGCCATCGTCTTCGCCTCCTGCTGTAGCAGGGTGTCGGTGAGCCGCTCTGCCTGCCTCGCCGCCTCTTCTTCCTCCTCCTGCTGCTGGTCCTCTTCCCATGCCTGCAGCTGGTGCTCTGCAACCTGGCCACCAAGAGCACAGTCACCCAGGACAATGCTCCCAGGGCAGACCCTGCCTCGGATCATGGGGGAAAGTCCGTGGGCCTCTGCCAGCTGGAGAAGCCCAGCTAAGCCACAATGACGGCAAGTGCCAGAAGGAAGGGCATTTATGAGCTTGGAAAGGCTGTGTGTGTAACATGCAGCTGGTAAAAAGGTCTGGTGTGCCCACGTGCTTGGAAGATTATTCTCTGCTCCCTGTCAGGTCCTGAACTCAGTCAACTGTGTCCCAGCAAGCAAAGAGAGAGGCTGGCCAGGCCTGACAGCCTTGCTCCCACACAGACGGAGGACCTGGAGTAAAGCTGGGACTAATCAGGAGGGTCGGGGTTTCAGCTGGAAAGGAAAAGGGGTGCACTGAGCTCACTAACGTGGGCTTCTCGGACAAGGTCCTAGTGCCAGGCTGCGAAAATAAGTCAAGGGTCTTGGCATCTGGTGCCACAGTGGGGCGGGGGCCGCAGCGAGGCCTGCTACCTGCAGCTCGCATCCCCCTGGCTGAGGCTGCCTCCCACCCCTACCCCCCCCAACCCCCCGGCTGAGCCCACCTGGGCCTCCAGCTCCTGTTTCCTGGCTGATTTCAGTTCTTCACTCTCCTCTTTCTCACGACGAGCTGACTCTCTGGCTTCCTCAAGATTCTGAATAAGTTGCTCCCTGTGTCTCAGCGACTCCTCTTGTGCCCGTCGGTTTTGTTCAAGCTTTTCTTGTATTTGTTGTTGTCTCCCTGTCAGAACCTACCCACAGCGGGAAGGCAAAGGGCAGATTTCAGTGTGACGCTAACAAGTACCTGTCCTGTAAGCCATGGACAGGCCATAGCTGCCCTGAGACCCAGCCTTGTCCTCAGCCTCAGGCCTGAATATGCCAGGTGAAGGCAAGTCCAGATCACAGGACTGGCCCACACAGTGTCAGCCCCGCTTCCCACCCGTCCCCACCACATACAAAATGCACACACTGTGCGGTAGGGAGAGACCGCTGGGCACCGACAAGGTCAGAGGAGGGGATGGAGCTCCCTCCCCAGGGCAGAAACGTAGCAACAAGGTTGTGAGTCTCACTCCCCATCAGTTCCAGAAAAAGAAACCACAAGCCATGCAGATGACCAGAGATAGAGTCTGGGTCCTCCCCTCAGCCTTTTGGATTTAAATTTACGGCTTAGAGTGGCAGAAACCTGGGTTTGAGACCTGGCCACAGCAGAGGATTACATCCAGAGCATGGTCAGGCCTCAAGAACCAGGAACGGTGGGAAGCCACCTGCCACACCCAACAATTATGCTCCCCGGAGGAGACACATAAGTGGCCACAATGAGGAGGAACATTCTTAATAGGGAAAATCAAAACATGCTGCAGAGTATCGGTACTCATAAAAGTGAGACAGCACCAGTGGGAACCCGACTTCCCATGGATTCGAAAAGGACATGCACAAAATAGAATTTCCATTTTAAACCACTTTAACTTTCCATACATGGATAACGAAGGCTTTTTTCTAAAGATTTCCTTTTTTTTAAAATTTTTTTTATTAAGAATGTCTACCCACAATGTGGGGCTCAAACTCACGACCCCGAGATCAAGAGGCACATGCTCCACCAACTGAGCCAGCCAGGAGCCCCTAAAAGATTTCCTTCTAAATGGGGTATGCCTTATGTGTATTACTTAAATCCTGACAAAGAAAACAGTTACGCTCCTCCAAGAATCCACTTCTGGTTATTACACCTCAAGGGAAAAAATCCTAAATACGGAAAATGGAAAGCCTTATGCCCCAAGATGTTTACTGTAATGTTTCTTGTAATGCCTCAAAATTAGGAAAAAAACAATACCCACAAGAGGGAAGTAGAACACAAACTACAACACACCCACATGATATAATATGCTGTCGTCAAAATATCTACAAGGAAGATGTGAATAGTATGTTAGAATGCTTGAAATCAAATAGCACAGTATAATAGCGAATGCTCAGAAACACACACTATGCACAGAAACAGGAAGAGTTGAGGGAAATCAAGTAATGATGACTGTAGATGCTGGGGGGTCTGGGTGACTTGGCGTTTACTTCCTGTACTTATGAATATTTTTCGAATAAGTTGATACTACTCTCATAATGACGTTAAAAGTCTCTTTATGATGACCAGAGAGGCCTGTGTTCCAGAATATTTGGCAGGGTCAGTATGTGCTCGCAGCCGGCATTACCTCACTCATCAGTCTGTCTCGGGCGCTCCTCTCCCGGGCCCACTCTGCCTCTCTCTTTTCCCACATCTCCTTGGCCTCCTCCCTGGGAACACAGAGCGGGTGAGAGCAGGCTCCTTACCACCACCCACGGCAGAAGACAACTAAAGAACCAACAGGGCTCTGGCACACAGGTCCACACATCTTCTGTGAGGCCAACCAACCTTCACACCAACTTCTGCACCCAACTCTTCACAGGTGACAATTCCGGACCAGCTCACCGAGAGTATTCCTCCCGTAAGTACTTTGGGCTGCCTTGGTTATGCTCCCGCCTCCTTATGAAACACAACTGTGATGACCTGCACCCACGCCATTTGGACACCAAGGGGACTCTAGCCGTCAGGACCCTGGAGAGGGACAGGAGCCCAGCGGTGCCTGAGCCCCATCCCCTTGCTCCTCATGTCCCAACGATGTCAGGAGCCAATAACATGAGGACGGGAAAGCGCTTTGCACAGTGTCTGGCCCACAGTCAGTGCTCAATAAATGTTACCTGTTAGATTATTTCAATCTCCTAGGTTTTTAGGATCCAGAACCATCTCTAACAGACCTACGAAGCATTCAGCATCTCCACAGTTTATAACAACTTCCTATCAAGTTTCTAAGATCTTAAAGGAACAGACCCTTACTCTAAACCCTGATGATTTCCACCTGAGAGAACTTCAGGGCAACACCCCCGAAAGCCAGGTCCATTAGCACACATGTGCTCATCACGACGGACAGCTGAGCAAGGGCAGATGTTTCGGTCACAAGGGAGACCCTTGTGGTGCCCTGTGGGGACCTGAGGGACCAGAGGAGAGGCCAGGAGTGTCGGGCGCAGGCAGGGGCCGCCTCTCACCTCAACAGCAGCTGCAGCTCTGCCTCCCGTTCCCTCTCCAGCTGCAGCTGCTCCTCGATGACCTGCTTCATCCACGCCGCGTCGGCCACGGCCTGCGCCCTCTTGGCCAATTGCATGCGCTGGTTCTCGTCCTCCCTCTCGAGGAGCGCCTGCAGGATGCGCTTGTCCGCCTCCTGGAGGGTGGCCAAGTAAGCACAGGGGGAGCGGGGGGAGCCCTTCTGTGGCCCCTGCCTCCCACTCCCACGGCCCCGCCTTTCTGCACTCGGCACTGAGAGCAGACATTCGTGAGGCTTCCGATGGTTCCCAAGATAGAGACGGGAAGGGTCAGGGTTTAACCACTTAGGGATGGTTTAAAACAATGCAGGAGAGGCCCAGGAGCTTTCCCTTTCCAAGGGAGAACCCTCTGCCACCACATGTATGTCCCTGCCCTTGGACAGGCCTGGTAGCACAGCTTTCGAGAACACAGCTGGGTAGCAGTCTTACTTCTGAGAACACAGACTGGAGACCCAAAGGCACAGACATGTGCACAAAATGCTCACTGCAGCTGTGCTGTAAGAGGGAAAAACCAGAAACGACCCCAATATGCACC